ATGTAGGGCCAAGAAATTAACTGCACTTGTACCAGATGGAGAAATGGAGTCTAACAGGAGTATTTGCAGGGAACAGTTCAGGGTTTGGCAGAATGTAAGCCTGGGAGGAGTCACAGTTTGTTGGATAGGAGACTGCCAAAAGATTTTTTTTTTTAAAGGCAACAAATGCAAAGCAAAACCCAAATCAGTGTGGTCCTGGACAGTATGAGAATCACAGAGCTGCAGAACATGAGGCCCAGAGCGCTCTTAGAAAGCATCTTCCGGACACCTGGGTGGCTCAGTCAGTTAAGCGTCTGCCTTCAGCTCAGGTCATGATCCCAGGGGTCTTGGGATCCAGCCCCGCATTGGGCTCCCTGCTCAGGGGGGAGCCTGCATCTCCCTCTCCCTCTGCCTGCTGCTACCCCCTGCTTGTACTCTCTCTCTCTGTCAAAGAAGTAAGTAAATAAAAATCTTGAAAAAAAGAAAGCATCTTCCACCGGGCTAGACCTTGGGACAGAGGAAGGGATGGGTTGGTGTCTGGGTACAACCCTCTACAAGGGTACCAACTGACAGAAGTGAAGCAGAAGTGACCACAGGAGGGAAATGGAAGGTCAAGACTGAAGAAGTAAGCATTCCAGAGGAATGAAAGCTGGCTCCAAATATTAAAACACAAGCTGTGGGGCCCCATCCCCAGAAGTTCCAATTCAAAAGATGTGAGTGGTCTTGGAATTTCCATGTCTAAGTTCGCAGGGGATGCCGGTATGGCCAGTCCAGGGACCACACTCTGAGAACAAGTGTTCTAAAAAAAAATTGTAATTCAGAAAAAAAAAAAATGTGTATTTCTGAGATTTTACTAAGATACCATGGCCATTCCCCGATAAGTCCAAATTAGGGAGAATTTACTGGTTTTAAAAGCCCACATATTTATTTTGAAAATTATGCTCTTTTTAAGATTTTATGTTGCTGAACACAAGTTCCACCTTTACTTCCGACCCTTAGTGTTTCTTATTAGTTCAGCTTCATAAAGCAAAATTTTGCTTCTGTTTCTGCTTTATATTCTAACATTTTATACGGCAGGCAGTCTCCCTCTGGTCTTCTTCCATGCCTCCTGTCCTGTGTATTATACTCAGCAGGTCAAGCTTCATTACATATTAAATGTGACCTGTTTTTATCAAATGGTATCTGGCTCCCACATCTTCTAAAATAGTAAATTTTTAAAAAAGATTTTATTTATTTATTTGACAGAGAGCGAGAGATCACAGGCAGAAAGGCAGGCAGAGAGAGAGGGGGAAGCAGGCTCCCTGCCTAGCAGAGAGCCCAATGTGGGGCTCAATCCCAGGACCCCGAGATCATGACCTGAGCCGAAGGCAGAGGCTTAACCCACTGAGCCACCCAGGTGCCCCTAAAATAGTAAATACTGATCCTGTCCTTTCCCCCAAGAGCCCACACTGAGCCCACCATGCCCAGGGGCCCATTAGGTTTCAACCCAGCTGCATTCAATTCCTGATTAATTTTATTTGATCTTATATACTTGAAGCTTTAGCCTTTCGATCCCAGTAGGAAAATTACCAGCATATGGGATGCAGATAAAATGACATGCAAAACAATGCAAATAAATACAAAACATACACCTCTAAATTGTTTGGGAAAAGTCTGTAAGCTAGGACATTGATATTATCTGCTTTGCTTCTCTATAGTCTGGTGAGCAGCGACCAGGTTCTTCTATTACCATTTATTTTCCCTGGCCCCCATTACCTGACACTTGTTAGCGTGCTACACAGAGGACGTGCTTCTGCCTGTAAGCCAGGCAAATGGGATCCAAGCCTTAACTTCGCCACTGTTTGGTTCTACAGCCTTGTACAAGTTCTCGAAGTTCTCTGGTTCTCAGATCCTACAGCTGGCAATGATGGAAGGGGCATGATCACAATAAAAATACCAGCACTAAGGCTTACAGAGCACCCACCAGGGGCCGGCACAGTGCACACATGCACACAGCGTGTCCACACTTTGCGTGCATGACGCACACACACTCCCCTCACAACAGCCCCGGACAGGGTACCATAAAGGCACCGTGCAGGTGTGGCGCTACTTCTGGGCCCAGGAAGCTCAGCCAAGGCCACACTCAAGGGAGGCAGTGGGACGGCCAAGTTTGGCTCCAGGGGCCCCTCTGCCTTGATGCTGCAGCTTTGTGGCACAATTCCCATCCGTGTTTTCCTAAACACGAAGTTTGCCTAGCCTACAAAGTAAAAATTTAAATTTCACGCTCATGTATGCTTCAAAATGTTGTTTCTGTAAGACGGTGTGATAGTTACAGGACTTTGATATCACAGTCCCAAACAGACTGTTTTTCCGGAAATGGACTCCAGACAGCCTTTCCTGCCCACTGGCTCCATCCCATTCACATATAAATTATGTGTGAGGCTCTCTCATCTTAAAAAAGCCATTCCGCTGTCCTGCCTCTCCCTTGAGGAGTGGCTTCCAAGAAGCTAAGCGTGGAGGCCACTGCCAGTGCTCGGCCCACACCACGCCCCACCCCACGCAGGGTGCTCACTCCCCGTGGGCTTTGGTAGAGACGTGCGGCCTGGCACTCACCCTTCCCCATGAAGGCAGGGGCTCTGTTCAGGCCTGCACCCCTGTCCCATCCACCCCAGGCTTTAAATAGTGCCCCAACACAGACACAATCAACCAAATCTATCTTTCCTCCAAACTCTATCCCTCCTCTAATGTTCCTTCTTTTGTAAATGGCAGCAACACCTGCTCAAACCTGGAGGGACTTGCCCTGCCCTGTCCTACACAAAAGTAGTCACCAAGTCACCCCAGGGTCTGCCTTGAGTCTGAGCACTTGCGTAACGCTACTGCCCCTGGCTCAGCCTAGCCCACCAGGCCTCTCACACCCTTGGAACAGCCCTGTTTACCTTTCGGGCACCTCAGATCCACTCTCACACAGCAACCTAGGTATTCTGAATGGAAATCTCACCAGGATACCCTCAGCGGTGAAACTGTCCAGAGGATGTATTCCACATTATCAGCCCCAAGGCATGGCATCATCTTTTCCAATGGACTTCTCCATTCCATGAACTCTCTGCTAGCTCTCCTCTGTCTTAGGGCACACCATTCCCTGGGGAGAGAATGCTCGCTTCTTCCTTCTCCTCCCTGCCCTTAGTGTAAGCCGCTCAGGCCTTCTGACCTTAAATCTCCCCAAGAAGGCCTCCTGTCTCTATCCCAGACTCAGCGCATCTGCGCTCCCACGGCACCCAGCACTAGCCTGACCCACAGTAAATGCTCAAAAAACCTGGACTGATAAATCTGGACGGATGAATTGACTTTTCAACCCTGCATTACATAATCTCACTATCTTGCTGTTTTCTTCCTGCTTCCCAAAGGAAGAAGGAAACTCTTTGAAGCAGACACAGTTACACTTCTGATAGTGGTGCCAAGATAAGCCCCAGGTCACCAACTCAAACTCCCCAACGCAGCTCCAGGAGTCAGTGATTCAAGAGAGAGATGGGGGAGAGAGGAAGCTGGGCACAGTCATGCATACTCTACTTGCTCACCTCCCCCCAGCCATGATCTGAGTTTGTTCAAAGGCAGATTGATAACTATTTACTGCTTGCCTGTCTTGAGAGTACTTTCTTAGCATGATGTCATCAAGTGCCAACTTTGACCTATTCCCCAATTATGCCATTCACCCCTACCTAACTCTGTCGTGATTATTCTGGCACTTAGCAAATTACTGTAAATTTTGGAATGAGTACAAGTACTAAACAGGAGGGGAACCCCCCCCCAATTCCCCTATCAGTTTTTCAGATTTACTACCATACAACCAATTCTTTGGCTATTGTTTATACGCTAATAAAAAAAGATAATCCAACAGCATCTTAATTAGTCATTTCTCAGACAGTACCAGATCCTTAGAAAGTGCAACACAGAAAATGTTCTTTGCAATAGTTAACTTATTTATTTTTTTTAAATATTTTTTTTAAAGATTTTTATTTATTTATTTGATAGAAAGATCACAAGCAGGCAGAGAGGCAGGCAGAGAGAGAGGAGGAAGCAGGCTCCCTGCTGAGCAGAGAGCCCGATGCGATGCGGGGCTCAATCCCAGGACCCTGAGATCATGACCTGAGCCGAAGGCAGAGGCTTAACCCACTGAGCCACCCAGGCGCCCCTAGTTAACTTATTTTTTTTAAGATTTTACTTCCTCAAGACACCGTCAAAAAAAGCTGTCAAAAGGGACACTGGGTTCTAGAATGCCTTAGGCTGATAAGTAATTTAATAATAAGGGCACGTTTTACACATGTAAGATCAAGAAGGGTGACTTCTATGCCTACCAAACTGCATGGATACTTAATATTATTCCTGATTCCCTTAGTATTCTAGTTTGTTGCTCTTCACTTTTACGGATGAGAAGAGGAAAGAATAAGGGCCTAAGGGCTAACACCACCTCTTCGCATGCCCAGTAAGGGGGGTAAAAGCCCAAGTTTCCCAGGCTACAACGACCCGGAAAACCTCCCAAAGACAGAAAATCCAGTTCTAAAACTTAAAGAGCAATACCCGTTCACTCGCCCTGTTCGCCTAAGATGGTAAACTGACTTGAGTGTCCAGACCTCTTGGCTCGGATCCCCGGAGGCTCCCAGCCTGCCGGACAGGCGCTGCCACCTCGCCGGCGGCGGGGGGGGGGGGGGGGACGTCCCGGTCAGCTCTGCGGCAGGAAAACTTGACCTTAAAAAAGCGCAGAAGCCCGTCCCTGGGAGGGCACCGCCGGGAGGTCCGCCCCGCAGCTTCGGAACCCCAAACTGGTAAGACCCGCCGCCAAGCACCTAGTCCTAACGGACAAGCCACTGGAGCAGCCCACTCCCGAGCTCCGCGTCTGCTCCCGCCCACTCACCTCCCGCCTACTCCGGGGGAGGATGCCCACGGCCCGGGTCTCCCGCAGCGTCGCTCGGCCCGAGGCTGGGGCGAAGCTGGCGGGCTAGTCGGGAAAAGCGGGCGTCGTGACCCTGCCTCTCGGCGCCCCTCACCTGAGCGGCTCTCCCTGGCGCCCCAGCCGGGAGGACCTAGATTGCGCGACCCCCGCCTCGGGAAAGGGCGCACGCCGGAGCCGCGTCCTCACCGCTCCGGGAGAGTCTGGGGAAACCCTGGTGCGCACACGCCGCGCGACTCCCGGCCGCCGCGCGGGTTCCCGAAGTTGCGGCGTCCGCTTGGCGCGCGGCGGGGTCGCCCACAGTAGCTCGGGGCTCCATATGCGCGCCGGCACTGGCAGGCGCGCAGCCAGGCTGGCGCTCAGCTCGGGATCCCGATGCGGCACCCCGGGGCCGACACCCCAGCTCCCACCCCCGAGAGCAACGCGGAGCCCAAGTTTTCCCCAGCGGGAAAGTGAAAGTCTCGAGGGGGTAAGGATCCCGGTGTCCCGGCCACCCCGCGCCTGGGATCCGAGCCCCGCACCCGCCATCGCGGGACAGCTCTGCACCCCGGCCCCGGGCGTTCCTCACTGGCCTCCGTGGCCAAGTCGACTTACGAAAGGAAGCAGGGGAGCCCCGAACGCGGGGTCCCCGCGGCTGCAGAGGCCACCCCGGCGGGGTCCGCGAGCTACGCTCCGGGATCCCGGCCTCTCTGCGGCGGCGGCGGCTCGCTTCTGCCTCCTCCCCTTTCGCCAACTCGGCGGCGCGCCCTGCTAGGGAGTTGCTCTCCTTCGGCCGGGGGTGGGAGCGCCGAGCGGCCCCCGTGACGTGGAGAAAGGAGGAGCGCCGTCGTCGCGCTCCTGCCGCGGGAGCTCCCCGCCCCTGCACTCCCGGGTCCCCGCTCCACGCTTGGGACAAAGTTCCGAGGCGCGCGCGGTGCGCTGCAGTCCGGCTGAGCCGCGCTGCTCTCCATCGCTGCTCTGGGTGTCACCCAGGTTCGGTTTCCTCCCCGCAGGAAACACACAAGATCCCGGGTCGGGAGAGCCAAGAGACTTGCCCGAAGTCGCTCAGAAGGCGGTGACAAAGCTAACTTACATCTGCGACTCCTTGCTTTTCCCCAAGGCTGTGCTCTGTGGGGCTCTGGCCCTGCAGGAATCGCCCCTGGCTCTCATTGGCGAGCCGGGGACAGTGTCCCACCAGCTTGGAGAAATATCTAGGAACAGCGTGGGAAGGTGGAGCTTTATGGCCAATAAATAGGGTACAAAGTTGTTTTTCAATCAGTGCCTACATGCCAAATAGACACTCTACGGCCTCTTCCTTACCCTAAAGCGGGGGTGAGGGCGGCAGCCTTGAGGGCGCAGGATCCAGTGCCAACCCTGCTCACTGAATAATTGAAAGCAAGCACAGACGCGCTTAACCGATTGGGCAGTATTGAAATACATCAATTTTGTGTTGTGGGCGCGATGCAGTCAGACTAGTCTGAGGACTCAGAGTGGGGGTCCTACAGATCAGCCCAGTCTACAGGCAAGATGGAGATCAAATGCTTGCCAGGAGGAAGCGAAAACAGAGTTTACTGAATAGCTGAGTACAGAGAAGAGCAGAGAGTGTCTGGGAGACTCCAAAAGGGGAATAAATCTAGTGGTTGTTTGGGTTTAGGGATTTCTATTGGAAAGGGGTGCAGGGTACCTGTTCCTTTAGTAATCCAGGATATGGTCCAGTGGAAGGTGAGTGACAGGTTATTAATAGGTGTTAATTTTATAAGTCATGGAAGGTACAGGGCGTTGATGCCAGCATCTTCCCAGGTTTGTTCAAAGCTAAAGCGGTTGGGATCTGGGTAGATGTCATCAGGTGTTTGAGGGCCCAGCGCAAAACTCAGAATGATTAACTTTTCCCCCTTGGAGTGGGAACATACTTCTCTGGTTTATTCAGACGCAAAAAATATAACATGAATAAGTGGGGCCTAGCAGGAAAACAGCAGAGATGGAACCCTTCTAAAAATGGAGTCTCTTCGGTTTTCCTGTTTCAGATACTTTATGAACTGTGCTGGCAGTTGCCATACTTCCGGAAGTCTCCTGCAGCACTCCTGTTTGTTTCTGGGCCAGAGGATCCTAGGCCCTGCCTTGTAGAACAGGAGGGGCACAAGGTAAGTTAATCACCGCAAGTTTCTTCCTTCCTTCCTTTGTCCATCTATGTTGACTAAGGGCATGCTATATGCCTGGCTGGTTGGTGGAGAGTCAGATAGGACCAGGTCCAGACACCCCATGAATCCCAAAATGGAAGCACTGCATAGGATGCCATATCCTTTACTCCCAGTATCCTGAGTCTGTCCACAGTAGTAGAAACTTGGAGACTACTCTGCCTTTTAAAAAATTCTCTGTGCCAGGGGAGGGAGTATTTTCAAGCAGACATTTTCAAGTAAACGCCTGCTTTGCACTTACCTCCTTTTCCCCAGTGGGACCTCCATTTCCTGCAAGAGTCTTTAAGGTCAATTAACTCACCCTTCTGGTCTCCCTCATCTGCACAGGACGACGATGATGACGAGAAAAGCAAGTGAGGCTTCTATCATTCATCTTGGGTGCCATTCTAAGCAACTTATGTAGACTCCTTCAATCCTCACAGAGTTAGGAGGGAGGTGCCATTTCTATTCTGATTTTACACATGAGAAAGGAAGGAAGTGAAGTGTAGTAACAGTAAGTTACTACAGTAAGTGGAATAGCCAGAACTCAGACCCAGGGTGTCTGTCCCAAGTATCCAGGTTGTGAACAATGGAGGGAACCAAGCCCTCCATCCTGGAATTCAAGTGGTCCGCCAGCACACATCAGCCCCAGCTCACACTAGCTCACACCAGCTCACATCACATATGGGAGCTTCCAATGATCTCAAGCAAGTGGTGCTGTGAAATCCACATTCACATAATTCCACACTCACATAGGGTTGATCCTATTATTTTGAATATATCATATAAGCCATTATCTCTTCATTCACTTGCTCCCCTGTCTCCAAATCCCAGATCCATCTTTTTGTCAAAGCAAACTGTTTTGGAGCACCTGGGTGGCTCAGAGGGTTAAGCCTCTGACTTCGGCTCAGGTCTTGGTCTCAGGATCCTGGGATCGAGCCCCACATCGGGCTCTCTGCTCAGCAGGGAGCCTGCTCCCCACCCCCCCTTGCCTGCCTCTCTGCCTACTTGTGATCTCTCTCTCTGTGTCAAATAAATAAAATCTTTAAAAAAAAAAAAGGCAAACTGTTTCTATGAGGGGACCTTGAAAATGCCTCTAACATCAAATGTGTAAACATTGTTTTGGATTGTTCTGTACTCCGACCATACCAGCTCTTTCCCTGTCTTCTGCTTTCACTGCCTTCAATGACTCCCTTCCCTTAAAGCAGTGCCCCAGGTCTTCCAAAAGCCGACTATCCAAGGCTGGATATGGTCTTTTGTACTCTGGCCTGAAGGCCTCTCCTACCCTTCACAGCATGCTCAGCATTCCTGGATTTGTCTCCCAGGGCTGCGTAACAAATGACCACAAACTGGGTGACTTAAAATAGCAGAAATGTAGTCTTTCACAATTCTGGAGCTAGAAGCCTGAAATTAAGGGGTTGGCAGGGCCACACTCCCTCTAAAAGCTCAAGGGAAGAATGCTTCTCTGCCTCTTCCTCAATTTGGGGGGTTGCTGGCCCTCTCTGGCATTCCTTGGCCTGCAGAAGCATCACTCCAGCCTCTGCTTCCATCACTGCATTCTTTGTCTGGGTCTCCTCTGTGTCCAAATTTCTCTCTTCTTTAAGGATACCAGACGTTGGATGTAGGGCTACCCTAATCCAGTATGACCTCATCCTAACTCCTTTATATCTGCAAAGACTCTATTTCCAAATAAGGTCATGTTCACAGCTTCTGGGTGGACATGAATTTTGGGGAGACACTATTCAACCCAGTAGGGTCCCTAAAAATCGTTGTTAATGAAAATGCTTGAGCTAAGGATGCAAAGAGGTATAAATCACAGGCCCTCTCCTCAGAGTAAAACACTGTACCTACAGATATAGTCTCTATACCCAGAATGTAATTTAGCAGCATGACAGGAGATGTAAAGAGCCAACTGACTGGGGCCAAATGACAATCCCATGGGCCAAAGGACAGCTGTGCCCAAGAATTCAGCCAAGGGGGCACAGTCACTGAGGACACCACTAAAGGGCTTTACTCCAAGCAGAGGGTACTCTAAGCATGTCCTTGAAGGAAAGCAAAGATGAATCAGGAAGGTTTATCAAAAGCACAGCCCTAAGGGCAGTATGTGTGCCAGGCAGAATCTTACTTCTGAAATTTCATTGCAGACATGAGAGACTGAACAGTTGTGAACACTTACTGTATAAGTGTACTACTTTGGCTATAATAATAGTATGTGGTAATGCCGTAGCAATGAACATGCTTTATAGTGCTCTTTCCTTTCATTAATTTCATTTGTCTTTGTGAAAATCCTGAGTGTCCATAGAGAAAAGGACAGCATATCTTACAACTAAGGATTCTGGAGCTCAATGGAGGGGCAAGTAACTTGCCCAAGTCAAACAGCAAATCAGTTGTAGAATTGGTATGAAACACATTGGCCTCAATAGTCCTTGTTCAGGAATTTCCTTGCCCCAAGTGAGCTTTCACCCTGGGTGAGAGCCTTCTAGGACTGGTTGTGTTGTTCTTGGCCCAAGGAAAGCATTTGAAGAACATGGTAATCCTGGAAGAAATGAAAAGCCTTCCTCAAAGCCATGTGAATTCCAAACTGGAATTGTGATAAACCTCCCCCAGACATCCGAATTGGTTTCCCTAAAACTTCTGGGGATTTTTGACTGTATTAAAGAATCTCTTTTGGCCTTCAGAGACATAATAGGATACTGTGGCCTTCTGAAAACTCAGCTGATCACCTTACGAAAATAGGGGTTGAATGGAACTTGAAGGCACACAGAGACATGGGTGAGAAGTTGAATACAAAAGACCATAAATTATATCACAAAATAAGTTGGCAAAAACTGATAATCACAACTTAGTGTCTGATCTCATCAGTGCAGAGTCACGCACAGAGGACCAGATCTTGGCAGGTTTTAAGGACTTTCTAGTAAGAATCTGTAACTGTGGCTACAGCTGGAAGCAAGCAGAGAGTCTAGCCTTGGGCTGAGTATCTGATGATTGAATGTGTTTTCCTGGATTTTCCTTTACTCAGTAAGCAGGGAACTTACTGTATCCTCTGCGGGTTGTCCTCAAAGGTATATTAAGGTATATTTAAGGATGAACTGCTTTTGAGTCTAGTGTGATTCACTGAGTTCTTGCTTGTGCAAAGTGCTATACTGGTTGCTATAGGAGA